TAAATGCATAGTAAAAGTATTATAATAGAAATCATGTTTGGGGACACTTAGGCCTTTTCAACACAGTTATTAATTATCTATTTAGATAGAAGGCAATTAAGACTTTGATCATATATAAAATTAATTCAAAAAAAAAATGTTGACATACATGCCATAAATTAGAAGGTATTTGTATTTTTTAGACCGTATATATGGTACTTTGCAATGGTCAAATGTCATCATCCGCTACAATGTATAAAGTAGAGCATTGTTATTTTTACAATGATAAAGCACGTGTTCATGATAAAGATGAGGTTAAGCTTTGATGATTTTTTTTTTTTCATCTCTTTTTTCTCTTTCCTAATCTTAAAATTTGCATCAATCTTTTCAAAAATTAATTATGTCCTTTATATTGTATTTCTATCAATTTTGGTTATTATTTTTTTTATTTATTTATTTTTGCTTTTAATGATTTTCAAACTTTATTTTTTTTCAATTTTATCCCTAAATATTTTATTTTATTTCATTTAATCCAATTTGATCCTCATTCTTTTTATTGCTATTTTTTTAAATTTTATTCCTCACCATTTTATTTCATTTAATTTTGTATCCAATTTTGATCCTCATTCTTTTATTGCTATTTTTTTTATCATTTTCTTTATTTATTTTAATTTTCAATGTAGTCCCTCATTTTTTTTTATTTAATTTTTATGCCAGATTTGGTCCTTATTTTTTTATTACTATTTATTTTATTTATCTAATTTTGGATGATTAGGGAGTTTGCGTGGTGTTTTTTAGAGTTTGCCTTCTATTGTTTAATCCTAATCTTTTGACTCAGGTCACTAGTTTCGAGGATTAGCTCAATTTAACTTCAATATTTTTTTTATGTTTTTTTTCTTAAAATTGATTATTTTTTAATTTTATTATTTAACTTTAGGTCATTGGGTCTTGAGTTTCATGGTTTTTATTTAGTTTTTTTTATTTCATTATTTGACATTAAATTGTTGGGTCTTAAGCTTTATGGTTGTTTCCTCATTCTTTTACGTAAGTTTATCTTGATTTTATATCACAGGTCTTAGATTTTTTTATGGTTTTTTAATTTTAATTTTAATTTTAATTTTTTTATTTTATCATTTGAAATTATTGGGCCTTTAGATTTATAATTTTTCTTATTTTTCTTTATGTGGAGTTATCCTGAGTCACAAGTTTGTTAAATTAACCTAGGTTGACTTTAGGTTTTCTCAATATTTCTATTATTTTTCTTTGGTCTTTTTTTTTTCTAGGACTTTTTTATTTTAAATAATCTTTTATCCTGATCACATTTTGCAGGTTATGAGTTAGTCGAGTGAACCTTGGCTCACTTAATTTTTTTTACATTGTTTTTTATAAATGATTTTTTTATTTCAATTTAATTCTTTGACATTAGATTGTTGGGTTAAGATCTTAGTGATTTTTCCCACTTTCCTTTATATGAGGTTGGCTTGAGTTACAAGTTAGTCAAGCTAACCCGGGTGGACTCATTTGTTTTCTTGACATTTTATTTATTGATTTAACTTCGATGGTTTCTAAGTCTCTTTTTTTTAAATAATTTTTTATTCTAATTTTATATCGAGGGTGGCGAGTAGTTGGGCGAGCCAGGGTTGTCTAGTGTTTTTTCTTTGATGTTTCTATTTTTAAATTTTATTTTTCAAGTTTTATTTTTTGACATTAAGTTATTGGGCTTTGAGTATTATTATTATTTTTTATTTTTTTATAAAATTATATTAATTTTTTATCCTGAATCATGGATTAGTGAAGTTAATCTAACTTAACTTAAATTATCATCACCTTACACATTGTTTTTGCCTGTAACATGGATCATCATACTACTAATATAAAAAAGAGAAATGGGAACCAAATTCTTTTGTCTCTCTCGCGCGTGCGCGCACATATATAGAGAGGGGGGGGGGTTCATTGGAGTCTAAAAATAAGTTTGACATAGTATAAAATTATATTAATTGAAGTATTATTAGTTTAGCATTGATATAGTCGAGCATGTAATAATTAAAAGTTTTAAGCATTTAGGTAAAGATATAATATAGTAAAATAGGGATTTTATACAACTAGATAGAGATCTTATAGATTAATTACATGGATGGTCTAACATATATTTTTATGAATCAATAATATATGTTTAGACCTAAAAGAAGGTCTTGTCGTGTTAGATTGAGTTAATACCTTAAAATTGCATCTCTTATTAGACTATTAAATCTCCCAAAATTAGGAATCAAGTCTGAATGCTATTGTTTGGGTCAATTTAGTTATTTTTTTGAGTTTTTTTGGATTTATTATTTATTTTAATTTTTTCTGTGCTTTTGGATTTCTAGTTGTTTCCTAATAGATGTGTATGGTTTTTTTTTTATATATCTATTTATAAGTCTTGTAAACATCTAAGAAAATAAAATTTATTAATTTTATTTTCAGATAAATAAATTATAAATTTATGTAATTTTTTTCGACACTTAAATTTATCCTCATAGTTCTCGCCTGCATCATCCATGCTTTGAGTTGGCATGTTATTATTTTTGATTTCATAATAAGTATAAACAGGTAGGTAGTGAAAGGGAAATTAAGAATTATGCAGAATTGAACAAAAAATAAAAGGTCAATTTTTAAAATAAGATGCATGTTGTCGGCAAAGTTCCAAGCCTTTGGGCCCAGTTTCATGCAAACATCTAATGCACGTTACGAGGCAACAAATAGAGTGGACCAAATGATAAAGCAAGAAGTGACCTTTGAAAGGCATCAAAGACTTCCAAGTCGTTGGCATTATTTCATTATGTAATAATAATAATTAAATATACAATATTTAAATTAAAAATCACATATATATATATATATATATATATAGAAATTATTTTATAATCTTAATTTCAAAAATATTCTTAACTAAACACATTAAATTATTTTCTATTTAATTTTAATTTTAATTACAATTTTAATTAAATATATATTTTTTCAAACTAATCTTAATTAAAAATATTTTTTTATAAAATATACTTTCATAATACTAAACACCTCCGTGTCCAATGCACGTTATGATTAGACCATTTGGAAATGGAAGAAGTGACCTTTGAAAGGCATCAAAGACTTCCAAGTCGTTGGCGTTATGCAATCAATATTTCAACATTAAAAGGCATCAAAGACTTCCAAGTCGTTGGCATTATTTCATTATGTAATAATAATAATAAAATATATAATATTTAAATTATAAATTATAAATATATATATATATATATTGAAATTATTTTATAATCTTAATTTCAAAAATATTCTTAACCAAACACATTAAATTATTTTCTATTTAATTTTAATTTTAATTACAATTTTAATTAAATATATATTTTTTCAAACTAATCTTAATTAAAAATATTTTTTTATAAAATATACTTTCATAATACTAAACACCTCCGTGTCCAATGCACGTTATGATTAGACCATTTGGAAATGGAAGAAGTGACCTTTGAAAGGCATCAAAGACTTCCAAGTCGTTGGCGTTATGCATTCAATCTGTCCAACGCACTTGCCAAGAAAATTAACTCTCAAGACATCATAATCAGACTCCTGTATATTTCCGTAGAATTGTTTTCTTTTTTTAAAAAAAATTATGGAAATATATTGGCAGTGAAAGGAAAATTAAGCATAAACAGGGAGCTAGTGAAAGGGAAATTAAGAATTATGCAGAATTGAACAAAAAATAAAAGGTGAATTTTTAAAATAGGATGCCCACTCCGGAGTGAAAACTGGAATAGCAAAGGCAAACACATGTTGTTGGCAAGGTTCCAAGCCTTTGAAATGTCTAATGCACGTTACGAGGCAACAAACAGAGCGGACCAATTGGAAGTGGAAGAAGTGACCTTTGAAAGGCATCAAAGACTTCCAAGTCGTTGGCATTATGCAATCAATAATTCAACATTAAAAAATCCCGAGTAAAGGGCACTTGCCAAGAAAATTAACTTTTAAGACATCAGAATCAGACTTCGGAATATTTCCGTAGAATTAAAAAAAAAATTATGGAAATATATTGGTAACGTTCTGGGAATGAGACGTCAGATTTTTCGTCCTTAACATGTGGACCTTTCTTTATTGATTTTCATAAATTTAGATATAACTAGTAAATTCAAGTTATTTTATCTTATTAATTTATACAATCATTTTAATTCTTATTTAATATTCTTTTTCTTATTTTCTCTACAATATCACTCGATAAGTTGGCAAGGATAATGATGTCCAATATATTTCGGAAAATAATAACATGAAAGTCTTACAGTGTTGTTATCAATTAACTAGTTTACATTTCAGAAAATAATAACATGAAAGTCTTACAATGTTGTTATCAATTTACTATTTTACTAATACCATATATCTACATGCAATAAATATATTTTTTATTTTTCTATTGTTTATTAAAAAAATTTGTGATACTCATAAAATAACTAGTGATATTCTATTAATTATTAAAAAAAAGAAGAAAACTCATTACTTATCAAAAATAGTAATAATATCTCTTTTTAGGATATATCTCTCCTCTCTCTCTCTCTCTCTCTCTATATATATATATATATATATATATATATATATATATTAACTTTATTATTTTATCACTGGTGAAATATTCTTTATAGATTATTTTAAAGTTAAGAAAAAATAGATCAACTTGTATTTTATTTGAATCTGAGTATGTATGTCCAATAAGGATTTTGAAAATCAAATCTTGTACAATAAAATTTGGTTTTAAAAATATTGATTAAACATATTATGATAGGAGTAAGGAACAGAATTTTTTGGGGAAAAAATCAGCTTTTTTATTTTGTAAATAAAGAGTCGCTTGCATGGAGAGAATCTTCTCAGTCTATTGATTTCCCTTCATCCAAGTGAGCCGAATTTTGAATCAGATAAGCTTGAGCATCCCTAACTTCTTAATTACTTAGCACTTTTTCATAATGTTAGCTTGAAAGAGTGGTGATGTTGCGGCTGAGTGGTCAAATAACATGAAAATTTGGTTCCAATTAATGCTGAATATGCAGAGTACTGCAATAAAATCATTCTATCAGACACAGTAATTATCACTACCAAAATTATTCAAACAAGTAATGCATACATATGCATCGATAGGCCTATACTATCACAGCATGCTAACTAGCTTGCTTCTCATCGCCCCTTTGGGTTCATGATCTCAGAGAACACAGCACCAGACATCATTTTCTCCGAATCGTTGCTTAGAAAACTCTGTCCGTCGCTGCTGCTTGTTGTTGCCATTTCCAAAATGCGGGAATTCACAACTAGTTCACTGCCAGTACTAAACAAGTTACTGCTGTCATCGATTGAGTAGCCTTTCAGAGGACTCTCCATGTCAACTTCTTTCTCAGTTTGAGCCCCTTTGACATACTCTTCTGCGCTCTCTTGCAGTTGCAATGCAAACTCGAGGCCCCAAACCACATCGGTCATCGATGGCCTTTCGATTCCATTCTCGAGCAAGCATCTCACTGCAACATCAACAAAGTTTTTCAGACAATCTGGTGAGATCTTTCCATCCAGATACGGATCAATGATTTCATTAATCGTTCCGTTGCTGTGGCTTTGTCTAGCCAACTCTGCTAGACTTGCTGGCACTGCTGATCGGTTTATTGCTGGTCTAGCACACAATACCTCGAACAACACAACTCCAAACGAATAGACATCAGATTTTTCTGTCAATTGCTGGCGTTGACAATATTCGGGATCCAAGTATCCTATGCTGCCTTTCACAACGGTGCTCACGTGGCCCTTGGATGTGCTCGTAGGGCCTGTTTTGGACAATCCGAAATCCGAAACTTTGGCCACCCATTTCTCATCCAGCAAGATATTTGTTGTCTTCACATCACGATGAATGACAGTGTGCTTGGCACCTGTGTGAAGGTAATGCAACCCACGGGCAGCACCGATGCAAATCTCTAGGCGTTGAGTCCATGAAAGTGGAGGATTATCAGTTCTGTAGAGATGATCACGAAGCGTCCCCCGAGCCATAAAATCATACACCAGGATCATCTCATTATTATCATTACAGTAACCAATTAGAGAAACCAAATGGCGGAATCTAAGCTGGGAGAGCATCTCGATCTCTGTCCTGAACTCGGTTGCACCCTGCCGTGAACTTGGATTCAATCGCTTGATCGCAGCACGATTGACTCCACCATCAAATAATCCTTTGTACACGTTACCAAAGCCACCAGCACCAATAATGAACGAATCGTCGAAGTTGTTTGTAGCTGCTATGATCTCAGCTAGCGAGAAATGGTGGCAAAGATCAGAAGGTAGAGATGACCTCTGGGTCTCTATTGACTTTGTTGGCCAGGAAACGAGAGGGCTTAACTTTGAAGCTCCATCACCGGAAACCCAGTCCTTGAGTTTTTGGACTCTTCTCCAGAAAATCAAGAAAAATAGGAAAGAGACGACAACAAAACCCGAAACAGCAGCACCTATAATGGTGCCTATTCCTCTTCGACTATGCTTTGGTTTTGTTGATGTCGCGCTAGGAGGAGTATTACTAATGGGGCTATCCATCAATACACCAGGATTTGGTCCGGAAAGATTGTCTGATTTGCTCAATTTGAAGATTTCAACTCCATTCAACATTGCATCAGGGAAACTGAATGACTGTGGACTAGGGTGCAATGCAATCGACAAATTCTGTACCTCCTCGATTCCTCCGGCGTGCATCATCACGCCATAATCTTTGTATATGGGAACCCCATTTCCATCAGCCCAAGAAATTATATCTGCGTAAAGCTCGGCAGTTTGATTAGCGATATATATTTGAAAGATTAGATCGCCTTCCCGCGAAATAATCGGTATAAACTGACAGAAATGAAGCCTAACAAAATAGGTGAATGTCGATTGGACCGGAAACTCCCAAGTCATATTGTATTCCTTATTTACAGTCGTATCGTTCCCCATGGTCCTAGCAGTTCGATAGAGTGCATCAGGTGCAGCATAGCGAGTGAGGTTATTATACTGAAGTTGAATAGTGCCATTATATTGATAAACGCTCGGTCTAGCATCCGTCAAGTAATCCACGTCGTTTAGCCAACTTCGAAACATGCCACTGTCTTTGTTGGGTTCGATGTAATTCGCCGCCACATTTATTCGGTACATAAGCTCTAAAGCAGTTTCTTTTTGAAGGGGAGAATGGAAGTCCTTGTCAACATAATGCAGACCTGGGTCACCCGCAGTCGTGTAATAAAGATTGGTGGGCATGGATACGATTTCAATCCCGTTGATGAACGCATATGCACCAGCTACATGAGGACTTGGCGTGAACGCTACGCTCAAATTTTTCTGCTCACCTTCAACATTTAAGATGAATTCTCTGGCGTAACCTCGTTCACCAAGAGGGTCAGTGTAATGGATGCCACTGAAGTTGCTAAGAAAGGTATAGCGACCGGCTGTGACAGAAAAAGATGCTTTAGACCTGTTGAAACCAGTGTAGGAAGCTGGATTGAAATAGAGGCGAACATACTTAGGTCCTGTTGTTTTGACAGGAAATGTGTAGGTGAATTGGGAGTGAGAGACACGAGCAGTATGATATGGTACAGAGCTAGTGGAGGCACCATTTGCAGTGGAATTTGATGAGGGGCTGTCTTGATCTAGAAGGGCCACTTTTGAGTTGATGTCTGCAGTCCATTGCCTACCGCTTACAAAACTCTGGGAGGATGAACCACAATCAAGCGCTATGCTATCAACAGGGTCGTAAGGTGGTGGTGAATCCCCGGTTACAAGGATGGTGAGATGGAGGAACAGGAAGGAGAGGTGCAGAGGTGTGAATAAAGATAAGTTTGAGAGAGAGAGATATTTGTCGCTGCTGCTGCTCATTTTGTTTTTGGCCCGAGGAGAGATGAAGAAATCAAGAGGAGAATCTCCTTTTAATTAGATGCCGAGAGGTGTTTAAGTCATGCTCGAGTTGACTGATTCTAATTTTTTTATGCATTAAATTACAGTAAAAAAAGGAAATTTAGGGGTTATATTTCGCCGTAGAAAAACTAGAATAAGTAGCAAAAAGCACAATCTGTATTGTAATCAAACCGTCTAAAATTCCATGTAAAATCGTTTTCAAGTATCACTATCAGCAGTATATATTAAAGTTTCCTTGAGGTTTAAGGTCAATGGCTTATTTGGAGTCCTATGAATGTATATTTCACGCATGCTATGAGGCTACATTGGCTGTGTTCTATCAACATCAAAGAGTTCCGTGTCTGGGGTACTTTCTCATTTCTTTCCTTTTAATCTTTTTTTTTTTATATTTATTCTCTCTAAATCTCTCTTCTCTTAATCACTTATCTATCATCATTATCACTATTACTTTTTTTATTTTTCTGTCCACACAAATGTAAGCTCTCCTATCAATGCATTTAATTACAAGTTTAAAAATCAAAATCCATATCATAACCTACACGGGAACATCTCACACATAGAAACTCTTTTATTATTTGTTTAGTAAACATATTTTATATTTACAAATTATATATATAACAGCTAATTATGTATTTATTAATTTTTAAATAATCTTATATCATGTTATTTTTTAAAAACAATTATATATCAACTACAATTATAT